TAGGGGCATATATATGCCACTTTTATAACGAGGGGTATATCAGCTCCAAATGACAAAGTTGATGGGTATATCAGACCCTTTTCCCTAATTGTTATAATTTTTTTGTTGAATTAAATAATAATAATTTTGATAAATATATTTATGAAATATTTTTTTATTATATTAATATGTAAAAAATTATCATTTATAATTTTTAAATATTTTTTTATTTTAAATAATAAATTAATGTATCGTAATTGAATTTTTAAAATAAAAGTGGACTACAGTAGATGCAAGAGATTTAGCATCAGTCACCAATCACGGTCACGGATTACGTCACAATTTACAAGATTAACATTCTCTTTCTATATTGGTCAGATGCAGCTCGTCTTTGATGCTCAAAAAGTATTACTAACAATTTTTTTTTATATAGAAAGGGGGATATCCGAGTGGCGATTCTATTATTTTTATTTTATTAAAAGGGATTGAAAAATAAAAATATAATATCGTAGATTTAAATTTGAAATCTCAAAAAAAAATTGAAGTTTTATTTATCAAATTAACCTTTTGTCATATATTTAGAAATTTAAAATTTATACACATTAAAAAACGATACGTTCAACATAATTTAACGTTTTATTAAAAAAATTCGAATAAACCCCTTGCGATTCTGCCACCGGGATGATGACTAAATAAAAAAGGCAATGAAGGACGTGGTGGTACCTTCCCAAGAACACCAACTCCAAGTAGTGAAATAAAATTTTAAAAAAACAGACTAGTGAGAATGTAAAAATATTGTCCTCCATTATCTAATATTAACAATAATATCAAACCACAAAAAATTAGATTTGTTAAGATTAGATCTGCGCACATATTTGCAGGTTCGACGCAAAATCATATAAAAGAAGCATAGTGCTACAATAATGATCGTATTTATTGCTAAGATATCATATATTTTCCTGGACGCACAGAGATTAATTCTAATTTCTAACTCAATATAAATATTAAATTTTTTCCAAAATGTTGTGTCTGTTTTTGTTGCCACTGCCCCTTGAATTGATCAGGGTTCACAAGTATACTTCTTTTACCGCGAGGTTGTTTAGTAGAATATATATATTAATTTTGTTATTATTTGAACGTTTTGTTTAATAGTGTTTTGTACGTATAATTAATATATGTATTCACAATATATATCTTATTCAATATTATTGGGTGCGTAACTAATACATATCAATTCACAGTATTATAATTAAGTTTATAAATACATGAATAAGTCTGATTAGAGACAATAATTCCTAAATATACCAATTCAAACTATGGATAAAAGAAATCACAAACATAAATTTAAATTTATTATTATTCTTATCTCCTATATGATCACACACTCTCAATATTAAGAAGTTCACTGTCGTATTTTATCGAGCAACTTTCACATATAATAAATATAAAAATTATATTTATATGTTGTAGCTATAGTTTGCATAATTGCGCTTCATAACAAATGTTATGTTTGTTATGAAGCTTCGGTTTTGTATAATACGTTAGATATACCTAATTTTATATAAATTGTTCAGTTATGTATAAATTCATTTAAACATTGTAGTTTGTATAATAAGATCTGTATTTATATAATTATAAGTGTATATGATAAAAATATATATTTTTTTTGTATGTATATATATTTTTCTCTAATTTTATACAAACACAAGTGCATTTTATAAATCTTATACCGAAATATATAAAATAACTAATCACAGCTTATGGACCCGAACCTGGGTGATCTATTATATATAAAAAATGACTAATTGTATACCGAATCAGATGATAAAAAAATGAGATATTTATTATGAATTACAAATAAAATAAATTATAACATTTAATTTGAATTATTAATTTAGTGTTTGATATCATCTTTCCTATATAATTGTATGGGGGTGGTAGCAATTGGCTGAGTGAAGCAATAAAACAATAATTGTATGTAGGAATAATTAGGCATGGGACCTTATATTGCTCTCTTCTGACCCCTACCCATTTTACATGTAATAATTAATCAACTCTTTTAAGCAAAGTTAACTAATATTCTTATATTCCTCCCTTCTCTTTAACGCAAGTTTGTTACAAATGTATATAATAAGAGAGTACTTAATACAAATTTGAGATGGAAGCATGTTTAACTTTATACGTATTTTGACCAAAAACTAAATACTATAGTACTAACAATTTATTTACATAGATATTCGTAATTTAAATTTCACGTTTCTAATATTTACTTAATTCTCTTATTTATCTACTGAAACATTCAAAATTTAAATTTAACGATTTTCAATATTTATACTAGTGAGTAATGGGGTAATTTCTTTTTGGCAGCCACTCGTGTGTTTACTTACCCGTGACGACTTTGAGAAGTTAATGGTCTTTCTATAGAAATAGTAAATTGTTGGAGTAGTTGTAAAATTAAATCTCATGATCATGATTTTCTTAGTTGTCAATATATTGTCCTTTTAATAATTAAGCTGTTGAAAAATTTGAAGGAAACTAAGGCATAATTGCGTACATATATACATCTGACTTTCCATGCATTTATGATTTTTCAAAAATATAAGTAAATTTAAAAATAAATATATATATTTAACGAAATTTGATCCCAACCTTCAATTAATTATTAACTACTTATTTGTAGTGCAAGGACATCAAATCAATTTAATAAGAACACTACCCCAAATATTCTTTTTAAATTACTCATCAACAAGTGAGAGTATCGATGAGAGTTTGGGTAATCATCTAATTAAACTATTAATTTCTTCCTTCTACAATAGCTGATCACTTTCCATTTTACATGGTATTTAAGAAGTGATAAATAAAATTATCAAATTGACTAAGTTATATTTTATACATATTGATAGATATTAAGATAATCTATGAAAGTACTCCAACGTGGATAAAAATAAAAGTATAAAATAATAATTAAGTACTTAATAAACTCTTTGAAAACACAAATTCTAAAAACTTTAACTTTATTTAATCTTCTAAAGAGAAGTTATAAGAACATTAAACATTGATGATAATATTAATTATATGGATAAAAATAAGAAAATTTTTATTAATTTATTTTGATTTAATAAGTGATCAAGTATTTTGGACAGATATTTTTTAAAAAGGTAATGTGTTTAGGTCTTTAGGGTGAATTAATAATTTAAATTTTATGAATTAAGAAATAATAATTATATATTTTGAAATTATAGTAATTCATATCTATTACGTAGATATAATTTATTAGTTTATGTTGTGCGTCATAAATATTGAACTGAAATTAACCGAGTATGTTGAGTATGATCCTCGATATGCTAACTTATCCATATCTTTATTTAATGTATTCTTGCTTCTCCTAGTGGCTCTGCATTTATTACATTGATTCACCCCCTTTATAATACATGAAGTACTACAATTAAATAAAAAGTACTTCAATTTGTGAGATATGATTTGGTGTCTGTTTGGATTGAATTAAAAATTAATTAAATTTACTTTTATATTAGTTTTTTTAATTTTTAAAAGTGTTTGATTATTATGAAACATAATATAAAATAATTCAAATATGACCTAAAATAAACCATAAAGCGTTTGACGAGTTAAATATCCTCTTTTATTTTTTATTTTTTATTTAAAAGTTATTTCAATTTAATTTTTTATTTTTAACAATCCACACGGGTTCTTCCTACTATTTTATCCCCTCTCCGAGTGGACGGGATCAAGTTCTCAAATATTTTTGACAAATTATATTTGAGTAAATTTTTTTGTGAAGTTTCCTCGTGTGTTCGGTTGACTCCAATTTTTTTCAAAAATATTACATTTTTTCAAAAAATATGATTTATATTTATAAGTTTTAAAAATTATTAAAATTGCCATACATTATTTTATCATTTTATAATGCATATGTTTTGTTAAAAGAAAAGGGGAAAATGCACAAGTACCCTCTCAACCTATATCCGAATTTTCAGATACACACTTATACTATACTAAGGTCTTATTATACCCTTTAACTTATTTCTACCCCTTTTCGACCTACGTGGCACTAGCTTGAAAAAAAATCAACTAGCGTTGAGCCCACAATATAGTGCCACGTAGGTCGAAAAGGGACAGAAAATTATTAATAAAATAAGTTCAGGGGTAAGTGTCTCTGAGATTTCGGGCATAGGTTGAAGGGGTTGTTGTGCCTTATCCCAAAAAAAGTTATAATGTGATAACAAAACAACAATGCCTATATTATATTAATCGCATACTCAAACTTGTCACTGATTCAATTATAATTATAACTCAATAAACACAAATTATTATTTTTTCTCAATTTATCATTCAAGTTAAAACTCAAACTTTTCCGGAAGAATTAATAACAAATATTAGTTGAAATAAATAAATAATGAGTTTTTAATATAAAATATAAAAAGTTAAGGTAATTTTGATTTTTTTGAAATTCTCAAATAATAAAACTTGACTTAGAAGTACTAATTTTTTTCATGTACGTAGAAACTTCACTAATATTCGTCATTTATAAATTATTGATTATTGATCAAAATTTTAAAATTTTAATTGTGTGACATAAATCCATGCATGTTGTTTAATTCAACAGTTATATTTCCTGCATTACCACTTGACCCTAGCCCCGCAACTGCCGCTTTAAATGTTTTTAAAAATTGTTTGAACCCACCTCTAAAATTAACCATATAGCCCTGTGTCTATTCCCCTCTCAACGAGTTCAGTATCAACCCCACGATATTCATAAAACGACTTAAAGTATGAAGTAGTAGTTGATTCAATCTATATATATGTAAAAATAATTCTACTTATAATAAAAGTAGTATAATTTTTCGCCAAAGAAGATTTAAATGAAGCCCTAAATCCTTACTTATTCTGTCTTTGTACACAACTTAAACTCGCATCCATGCCTGCACCTTTAATTTGACATTTCTAGTGCAGCATTGGTGATGACAATGGTAAGATAAGTAATTTTATAAAAATAGCTAGGTGGTGGATGACGGAAGATGTTTAGTGGTAGTTGAATAAGTAAACTGAGATCCTAATTATGATCTAGATTGGAAAAAAATTAATTATAAGGACTTTATTATATGTGTTAATTATTAAAATTGGAAAGTGTTCTGCGATAAATATATAGGAAGTTGAGTGCAGCTATATATGTTAAGTGATTTGGTTAAATAATAGAGTACTAGTCCACATCCCAGTTCAACAGTTTTTGCAACTTGCAATGTTGGAAAAAGAAATATAAAAAAGCTTATCCTCTCTCTCTATATAAATATAAATAAAAAATATTCTTATAAACAGTGAAACAAAGCATCATGGGTGTGATCTGATGGGTCATCAACAAAGCCCTACTCATTCGACATGCGAATCCAAGATATATTTTTTTAGAAAATCATGTGTAGAATTCCAATTACTTTGTTACTTCTTTTTTATTTTATGAAAAATTGATTTCATAGGTTATATTATTCATTCAAAACATATTTCTTTTATTACATCTTCGTATATACAAAAATAGTGCAACAACATCATTCAATACGCAATTAAATTGAGGGGTAATACAATGTTGCATAATTCAAGAGCGATAATGCACAAAATTTAAATATGTAACTGATAATTTCATCGTGAGTCCGTGAAATTTTATATACGTTATCCCAATTTAAAACATGCAAAAGATGCATCACCAATGCCCATATCCTCATGCATCATAACCACTAGCTCTTTAAGGCCAATACCCATGGCCTCAACAAACCAAAAAAACTCAAATCTTATATAAACCTACATCCAAAGCAACCACTCACACAATTGAAACAACAAATATTCCCTCTTCCCCACAAAAATGAGTGGAGGTAACAGCATTACCAAATCAACCTCCAGTCTCTTCATTTTCATTTTCCTGTTTGTTTCTATTCAAGCAGCTCGTCCCCCATTCGCCTGTGACCAAAAAAACAGAGCATTTAGAAATTTCCCCTTTTGTCAAACAAATTTGCCGATTGGCGACAGAGTGAGAGATCTGATTGGGCGATTAACATTACAAGAGAAAGTGAAATTGTTGGGGAACAATGCCGCGGCAGTGCCGAGGCTGGGTATAAAAGGATACGAGTGGTGGTCGGAGGCACTTCACGGAGTTTCAAATGTAGGTCCAGGGACTAAATTTGGGGGTGAATTTCCAGGAGCTACTAGTTTTCCACAAGTTATTACTACTGCTGCTTCTTTCAATGCTTCATTGTGGGAAGAAATTGGCCGGGTAAGTATTCACATAATGCTTTAAACGATGCCAATTTCTGGTGCTCTGTTTTAAATTCGTTGCACTAACAACATTGTGGAAAAAACTTGCACAACCTAACCAATTATAGTTTAACATGCGAATAAAATCACACATTGATAGTGATAAAAAAAATAATTTACAAAGTAAAAGACAATTTCACTTTAATTTTTAATTTTGACCTCTGATTTTCAAATTTTAAATAAATAAATACATGAGTCTTACCTGACAAAATATACGTAAGACAAAAAATGACATGTAGGATGACATGTTGAACATGCGTGTCTATTTGTTCAGCTTTATACTTGTTTAACTGTCTACTTATGCACACCCAAAGTTGAAGAGCGTAAATGTGATTCAAAACCAAGTTAAAGAGCATATTTATGTATTATGCCTAGATAAATTGAATTAATTTTACAATTTAAAATTTGAAATATAGCATTGGTTAAACGGCTTGAATCTCGGGAAACGAAATGTAGCAAAATAAAAATAAACAAAAAGAGTAATATTCTTAATGTGAGGATTTCTTTGTGAAAATCATGCAAACTCAACTGAAAACAGAGTATATTAAGAGTTTTTTTTTTTGCTTAATTTAACCCAATAAATTTAAGTAATTTCATTGATAAATATTTCATGGTGAACTATAAAATAGTAACCAACCTACTAGTAAAGATTAATCCAGGTAAGTAATACTTTTGTAAAGTAAAGGATAATATTTTTGTTAGTTTCTCTTTGGTGCTTTATAGAGTAGCTCAAGTAGAGATCTTACTATTTTTCGATTCTTGCGCCTGCATGGAATTGCTGAATATTAGCGGTGGCCATTTTTAAAATTTCAGATTTTGATATGTTCCAAATTATTTTGAAGTAAGGGACAAGGCTCGTATCAAAAATATTGGAAGGAAAAATTATTTTCGTCCTAAAATTTGGTTAGAATTTGATCCGATGGTGAATAGCACACTTCATAATGTACCTTTTTGAATATTTTTTTTAATTTTAATATTTTTAATTAAAAATGAAAAAAATAATTTATTTTTAAATAAAAAGAGTATTATAAATCTTTTAAATTTTTGATCAAATTTTCTAGTCATGTAGCATTATTGTTTATTATTTTTTATAAAATTATTTGTTACATATATGAAGCTAAAAAAAAAACGATAATGCATCACAAAAGATTTAACCCTTTTATGATTTGATTATTAATCAATGAGAATATAATGGGAGTAATTAAGGTAAGAGAAACAATTATTAAATGTACATTTTGGTATAAAGTACTTTCTTGTGTGCAAGGCCAATTAAAGTTTAACTTATTGGAGGGTCCCATTGGCCATAACTTATTGGATAGTGACTGTATATAAGGGCATCAAACCAAGTTGCAATTTTTTCAGAACAGGCTCTGTTTTCTATATAAGGTCACATCCCTTTTTAAATTCTATATTATTTAGTAGGCAATTTAGCCAAAGGATTTGAAATCTGTATTCATTTATAAAATTTTGCATAAATTTTTAGTTCATGATTTCAGATTCTTCAAAAAAAAGTAGGCTTTTAAATGTTAAATGTGGTCCATTGATTTTTTGCAAAAGAAGATCCATCATTTTAATTTTATTTTTTTTAAAAAAAAAAATTGACGTGAAATAGATTGTATGTATTATGTGAAAGAAGAATATTAAAATATAGTTAGTTATTACTTTTGTTGATTAGTGAACCTTTGAAAAAATATATGTACTTATTTAAAAGATTAAAATAACATATAATAGCAAATACTTATTATAAAAGAACTATGATATAAGGGTAATGCTATATAAAAAAGTTTATAATATTGTTTTTATTTTAAAATAGATTATTTTTTTTAAATTAAAAGTATTAACGTTAAAGAGATAAAATAACATAGAGTGAAATATATTATTTTATCATTATCAAATTTTCTATTTTTCATATTTATAAGAAAAGAAACAAAATTTAAAAATTCAAACTGCGTTTACAAACAACATTTCAATTTGTCAATTTTCAAATCATAATTTAAACCATTTTCCAAATGGATCCATTCTTTGTAACTTCAATATGAACAAATAAGAAAATATCAAAAAAATTAGTTCGTAGTTAAGCTCAAAAGACATTACTAAGAATTCATAATGTCGGTTCAAAAATCAGTCTTTGGAAATCTGTTACCTGCATTTTCAATTGATGATTCTTGGACCTCAAATCAATTTTAGAGAAGACACGATCACATTGTAACTGATCGAACAAATCATTAATAGGAGGAATAAGATACTTGTTCTTAATAGTTACCTCATTAAATTTTATACAAAATAAAAATTAGACAAATAAATTGAAATAGAGAGTTTACGTAGATTTTTTATCAAAATGGCCACAATTGCTACACGTTTTTATCGCTGTGAGAACAAAAGTTACCCATTATTAAGTGACACACTTATACTATATTAAGGTCCTATTACCCCTCACTATCTTGTGGGTACAACGCTGGTTGATTTTTTTTTCAAGATAGTGTCACGTAGGCCGAAAACAGGTAGAAAATTACTTATAAAATAAGTTTAGCGGGTAATAGGACCTTAGTATAGTATAAATGTGTTTCTGAGATTTCGAACATATATTGAGGAGATACTTGTAGATTTTCCCTTAAATCTATAAACTTTTGTTTTTGTTTATTATGAAGTTATTCAATTGAGATATGGATTCAGGTTGTATCAGATGAAGCACGAGCAATGTACAATGGAGAAATGGGAGGTCTGACATATTGGAGCCCAAACGTCAACATTTTTCGAGATCCAAGGTGGGGAAGAGGACAGGAGACTCCCGGTGAAGATCCCGTCGTAGCTGCTCTATACGCCGAGCGTTATGTAAGAGGTTTACAAGGAAATGAAGATGGTGACAGCCTGAAAGTAGCAGCATGTTGCAAGCATTATACGGCCTATGACCTCGATAACTGGGGTGGCGTTGATAGATTTCACTTTAACGCCAAGGTAAAATACATTCTTCTTTATATTATTAAGGATAATTGTACCCCTCACTATAAGTGTCTCTCTGGGATTTCGGACATAGGTTGATGGGGTACTTGTGAATTTTCCCTGTTATTAATTACTACTCCTGTCAAACATATGTATAATATGTGTGTGGAACAGGTTACCAAGCAAGATATTGAAGATACATTTGATGTACCATTTAGAAGTTGTGTTAAACAAGGTAAAGTGGCTAGTATTATGTGTTCATACAATCAAGTCAATGGCATACCAACTTGTGCTGATCCTCAACTTCTACGTAAAACAATACGCGGTGGTTGGGGTCTGAACGGTTACATTGTCTCCGATTGTGATTCCGTTGGAGTATTCTACGATACCCAACATTACACATCAACGCCTGAGGAAGCTGCAGCTGCTGCTATTAAAGCGGGTCTGGATTTGGATTGTGGGCCTTTTTTGTCACAACATACTGAGAATGCGGTGCATATTGGTATTCTTAAAGAAGCTGCTATTGATACAAATTTAGCTAATACTGTTGCTGTTCAAATGAGGCTTGGGATGTTTGATGGAGAACCATCAGCCCAGCAATACGGACATCTTGGCCCAAGAGATGTTTGCAGCCCCGCCCATCAAGAACTCGCCGTTGAAGCTGCTAGACAGGGTATTGTTCTTCTTAAGAATCATGGACCGGCTCTTCCTCTTTCACCTCGACGCCATCGTACTGTTGCTGTTATTGGACCAAATTCAGATGTTACTGTCACAATGATCGGAAACTACGCAGGTAAAATATAATTATTCACTTCAAAATATGAAAAAGTAAAAAGTTCAACGACTACTATATGTGAAAAAGAGGACTAATTGGGCTTTTAAAAAATATAGGCGTTGCATGTGGATACACGAGCCCATTACAAGGAATATCAAAGTATGCAAAGACCATTCATGAAAAAGGTTGTGGTGATGTGGCATGTTCAGACGATAAATTATTTGCTGGAGCTGTAAATGCTGCACGTCAAGCAGATGCAACAGTGCTAGTGATGGGCCTAGACCAGTCTATTGAGGCTGAATTCAGAGATAGAACTGGACTGCTTTTGCCTGGATTCCAACAAGAACTCATCTCCGAGGTATCGAAGGCATCGAGAGGTCCTGTAGTATTGGTCCTCATGTCTGGAGGCCCAGTTGATGTAACATTTGCCAATAACGATCCTCGAATTGGTGCTATTGTGTGGGCTGGATATCCTGGACAAGGTGGCGGTGCTGCCATTGCAGATGTCCTTTTTGGAGCCCATAATCCAGGTAAATTAACTAAACATTAACACAAAGTTGGGCCACATTTAGTTCTATGAATCATTTGTATTAGCGAAATAAATACAGTGTCACAACTATATACTAATTAGATACGATTTTTTTTCAGGTGGGAAGTTACCAATGACATGGTATCCACAAGAGTACTTAAACAATTTACCAATGACAACAATGGACATGCGATCAAATTTAGCCAAAGGATACCCTGGTAGAACATACCGTTTTTACAAAGGCCCATTAGTATACCCATTTGGGCACGGATTAAGCTACACAAAATTCATCACTACAATCTTCGAAGCCCCAAAGACACTAGCCATTCCAATAGACGGACGCCATACTTACAACAGCAGTACCATATCAAACAAATCAATCCGAGTAACACACGCAAAATGCAGCAAGATATCAGTTCAGATTCATGTCGACGTGAAGAATGTAGGGCCAAAGGATGGTTCACACACATTGCTCGTATTTTCAAAGCCACCTGTTGATATTTGGGTGCCACATAAACAATTGGTCGCGTTTCAAAAGGTATACGTCCCAGCAAGATCGAAGCAACGTGTTGCGATAAATATTCATGTGTGCAAGTATTTAAGTGTAGTAGATAGAGCTGGTGTTCGAAGAATTCCAATTGGTGAACATAGCATTCACATTGGTGATGCTAAGCATTCCTTATCACTTCAAGCATCAGTTCTTGGAGTTATTAAATCTTAAGGATTTATTTTCTTTTTTTTTGGGTAAAATCTCCACGTAAAGATGTCTTTGCGTTAAATGGAGATTCTTTTTTTCCCCTAATTGTTCAACAAGGGGATAAGCAAAAATTAGATTTTCTTTTATTAGATAAGAAGAAAGAAGATTGAGAAATTAATTGTAACTTCCAATTGAAAGAAATGGGGATTATCTATTACAATGTTTTTTCCAACATTTACATTTTGATATTGTCGTAAATGGGGTATCTTCACGTAAATAGTTAAACATATTTATTATTTACTTCTCTAGTCTGTATACATTAATTATACACATATTATATATGGATTATTTATAGGAAAACTTCATAGATTGGCCTTAAAACTTAAAATAATTACACATTCATACTTCAATCTAAAGTAATTCAAAAAATACCTACCCTCTGAAAAAAAAAGATTACATCACATACCCCATTCATTAAGACCAATAATTTTCACTTAAATTATATTAAATTAGTATTATATATTGTATTGATATCATTAATGATGATCATTTCACTTAATTGATACTAAATCAATATATATAGAGAGAGAATAAATTAAACGAAATTACCATTTTGATGATATCAATAAAATATATGATACTGAAAAAATACAAGTTAAGCAAATATAATAAGAGGGTATATATATTGTAATTATTTTACTTTTATAGAATATTTGCTTATTTTCCCCACAATATATATTTTATAGTAATTTGGTGCGTAATTACAAAACATAACGATAGTTTGACTAGTTAAGAGGGGTAACGATAATTGGGAGAAGAAACGGTGTCACGACCCAAAACGGGTCGCAAGTGGCACCCACACTTATCCTACTATGTGAGCGAACCAACCGATCTAACCCCAACATTTTCAAACATAGTAAACAGAATAAACAATGCGGAAGACTTAAAACTCATTAACAAAATTAATAATCAACTTCTAAAACTCAAACTTATCATTATCCCCA